AAACTAGTTTAAGTAATACAGTACAGAACAGTGGAACTAGACAATGTGATTCCGTATTAGCAACTTTGTCGGAAACTATAAACTTTTATACAGAATCAACCAAAGAATCTCGATCAAAAGAAACACAATTGCATAATGCAAATGTTTTAGAATTAGCGGAGGAGAAAGTCAGTGGAAAAGAAAACCCTATTTAAACTGCCAATGATATAAATTTCATCGCATCGTAGTTTACCCATAACAATAATTAAATAGCAATGAAAAGAATTAAAAAAGAATGCGAGCTGAAAGTTCCTGGCAGGTGAAGAAGTAAAATATTCAAAAATTTTGGTAAATCATACCGTTAATGGATACAGGAAAAGAGAAGAGAAAAAGTTACGGGAGATCCATGTAGATAAAAGAAAAAAGTGTAACGAATAAATTGATAAATTTGAAAGGATTGTTATTTTCAACTATTATTGATGTTTGGGAAATTCTGAGCGTCAATAGAATTGTATTTTATTATAAGATTTGTAAAATCTAAGCCTAAACGTATGACACTGGTAGATTCGAAAATACTAATAGCATAACTATTTGCGAAAATATGTTTATACAGAATTAGGATATAAATGATAAAATTGTCTACACAGCTTGATGAATAAGAGATGGAGTCAGTGAAAGATTTACGAGGATGTCATTCTGACCAGCCTAAAAAAGTAGATGATTTAAATAAAAAGCTTTATTGATCATATAAACCAATTTCCAAGAAACTCAAAGAGAAAATTTGGACGAAAAGCTTACTTATGCTAAAAGTGTTTATATCTAAATTGGACAAAAAATCAATAACTCTGTCAAAATGTTAAGCCAGCAACACTATAACAATAGACCCTTGCTCTATTTTTAACACAAAATTCAATATCTGATTTTTCTACCCTAATTTTTTTTTATGCGTTACATGAAGGTGTGTGGAACAAGCGGATGATAAAAAGAAAAAGCAATTGAAATACGAATACGAGAATTATTTAAAGAACAAAAGAATTGTACGGGATATAAAAAGCACAGAAAAAGAAAAAGCTAATTCAAAAGAAAAACCGGTAGCAAACTTGACTTAGAAAAAATTTTGAGCGCACCTCGATCGCAGGTTGGAGTTTTTCGCAAGCAAACAAAATACCCAGTATAAAATTTCACTGTTGATCATATTTTAACTAAAGGTGGTTATTGCTATATGCGGCTTGCTGAAATTGCGAAAGGGGAAGCCAATGAAATAGATGTCTATGGATTTTTTTACAAAATGAAGCATCGGGGAGTATCAGAAAAATATCGTTCTATTCGGAGAATTGTTCAGGATAAAACCGAAACTATTTAGTTTTGCACTATATATGTATATATGGATGATGAAAGTAAAAATTATCCATGGCTTTTAAAAAAAATCTCATTCTCAGAATGAAGGAGACTCGATGCAGCATGTAGAAACAAAAAAAAACAAGTTTATTATGTACCAGACGAAAAGCACTCAATCGTTCGCAATGCGAAAGTAAATACGAAGAAGTATGTATTGTGAAACACATGATACAAGAGAATTTCTTTAACTATAAACGATTAGTTGAACTTGCTAAAAACTGGTTTGAGAATACCGCTGGCAACAAAGTTTTGTGGTCTAAAATAAAACGATTATTTGCTGATCTCCAAAATCCTATAATTATTAATATGAAATATGATATTTATGAAGAAGAACCTAAATGGGTTAATACCAATGCAAATTACAGAAGGGAAGGCAGAACAGAAAGGCTCAGAGTGAAAGCAACCAAGTATTATCGGCACTAACGCAGATATACAATGGTCTATTTCCAATTTCTAGAAATTTCAACAGAGACTTGATAAGTCCTTGGTTTTTTCCATATGGTTTTTATAAAAGATTACGTCTTGAGCATTTTATTGACTAATTTACTTTTAAACATTATTATCAAGTCCTTTTGTTTAATAAAGCTGGTTGATTTTATTCAATATGTTCATATTAACAATTTAAATTTAATTACTACCATAAGCATTAAATTTTCACATAAATAATAGCAAACAAATGTTGTTGTATTAAAAAATTACGATTTATTAAATATATTTTAACGTTTTCTGTCAGAGTAGAATAAGTAAGCTGTTAGTGATACAGACATATTTATTTTATTATTAAACTTGTAATAAAAACATAAATTTATTTACTATGATTATTTTCATTTTAATTCTTCCGTAACAAAGGCGTATTTTTTTATACACATACCTAAGCTAGGTCAATTTTGTCGGCAAGAAATACGTAAGTAAAATTACGAAGCTATGATCCGTGTGAACACCGTAGCAACAAAGCGGTTACTTTACTTATTCCTAAAAGTCATAATATCTTAACGGGGATTAAAGACGTAACCGATTAATTTCAAATTATTTCGAAAACTACTCAATATTGTTTTAAATCAACAACAGATATATATGCAGCTTAATTTTATCCATGAACTCTCTTAAGAACATTTTCATCTATGATTTACCATTTCTTAACAAAACAGTTTTTTTACGTTCCTGAAAAGTTCGAGTTTTTCACTTGCGACCTTTTTCCACGAATGGTGCGAAATGTCATTTGTACACTATCAAAGTACGATACAAAAATATATTAGTTCATATTCATTAAAAACTATTTTATGGGTGTGACAGATATATATGTGTTTGAATGCAATGTTTTTATAATTGTCGTAATTAATCACATTTTGGAATCACATCTAATTCCATCCTTTCTGTTCATAAGTCGACGTTTTTTCCCCAAATAAAAAATATTATTTTTTTGCACACCGTACTCATGGTGAGGTCAACGATGTCCATAATTAGTTTCAGACATTTTAGTAATAATTTAATTTTTGTGACAATATCACTATGAATATTTAATAGTTGGTTAGAATAGCTGATAATATAATATGTATATTCAAACTCAATGTTTGATATGAACGCCAAGAGAGTGAGAAAGAGAAATCCAATATCATTTGGGCACTTTATCGTTTTTTCTTAAAAACTACTTTAAAACTGCTGAAAACATAAAAAAATATATTTAAAAAATATCATACTCAACATCGCCCCCTGCAATATTATCACATAACTGTACTTACAATAAAAATACCGAACTAAAAATTCAATAAAAAATGGCGCTTATGCCTATTAACACAAAAACTACATATCCAAATTTTAAACAAAAAAATATCTTAAATTCAAGTCTTATAGTCAACGTAATAAAATTGAGATCCATAAACAAGTCAAATTAATAATAATTAATAATATTAGTTTGTGTGTTTGACAAAAATTAATTGTTAAAAATGGGAAAACATAAACATATAATTACTTATGTATTTAAAGGGCACAAATAGAAGTACAAATTGTGGTAAAAACTCGTTGAAGTGATTATAATGTAGATAATTGCTAAACTTTAGAACAATTATTGTGATGTGACATGGCAATGTTAATTAAGTGTTCTTTTTATTAGTCAAATCCCATAATATTAACTTTAAAACTATACATCTTTCAAGATACTATAACATAATTATATATATTGTCAACTTATATACCATATTTAAAAAAAAAGAACAATGGCTTTCTGTGCCATTATTTGAAAAACAATTATTTATTAACAACATTGAAAAAAAATGTTAGAAGTGTGACCAATAGAGAGATCTTTATTGGTTTATTATAGTTGCAAAATTTCAAAAAGGTTGTCTTATATTTGAATGTATTAGTCAAATTATAAAATATGTTATAATGCTCATGATTATTTATGATTATTCATAAAATTTGTCAATGTTTTTCTTTATTATAAAAAAACTTTTTTCGTCAAAATTAAGATTGTATAAGGTAAAACGTTGTCAAAGAACGACAAATGTCAAAATTAATTAATATAAAAAAAGCAGTAAAAGTTTAAAAATACTAAAAGCACAATTATTGGAAAATATGAAAGATTGTCAATGTTCATATGTCTAAATACGAATAATGTAATAAAAAAAAATTTATCGCCTTGTCATGAATGCAACGAAAATGCTCATATTGTAGTGAATTTGTACATATAAATATTGCTTGCTTAAAAATAGTGTTTAGTGTTACCAGCACTTAAACTATCTTTTAATTAGCAAAAAATTAACATTTTATTTTTTCATGGCAAAAGCCTGGTCACTCTTGTATTGGAACACTGTGGCAATATTTTACCAGAGAGCTTTATGACTCACGTGCACTCGGGTATCCATAATTTATAATAAGATTTCCGTATATTTTTTCTTATAATAAACATAATAATATGATAAAGAAGTAATAATATGCTACCGGACAAATAAAATGATTTGAAGTATTGATGAAGATTTGAAGTACAATAATAATGACTATTTTTTGTGAAACAGTAATGACATAATACTTTAATTTTATATAATGATAATTCTGCCAATTAACACATTTCCAACAAATATGACATCTTCATTGTTTGCTTAGCTAGCTTATTTAGAACTGGAATGACGTGCGGCAAAAGTAGTCCATTGGAAAAGATTTTAGTGAGCGTAATAAAAAAGTAATGTCCAGTTCTGTACTATAAATTGTAATCGCGGACTTGATATTAAAACTGATGAACTCATTTACGTTGCCGTCATAGCATTTATTAAAATAGAATTCTGTGCTATTTTACTATTTAATAAAACATGAACATTCATAAAAACAAGTTATTATCATGAAAATGTTCATGGTGACAACTTATATTGGCAATGTTTAAAGATAAAGATTTTTTTTTAATATAAAATAGTTTGTCAAACCTCAATAGGCAAATTATAAGACCTAACATTAAAAACCTTAATTTTTTTCCTAATACACATTATGCTAGTAGCTTTGAGCACTTGTGAACACAAATATATAAGACCACCAGAAAACTGCAAATACATGTTCAGACTTTAGAACAAGCAAACCATTTGAAATACATTCAGTACTGGCTGTGTAAATCTAAAATAGCTAATTAATTTCGTTGGCTTTCTTTGCGGGAAATAAATTACTTTTTACATAAACCGATAAAATTCAAAATCGTCTCCTACCATTGCTCTTAACACGAGTATTCTTCAGAGTAATTGTGGTAGACTGAAGCGGTGCACCATTGTTTGTTCTTCTCAAAATGGGGCAGTATGTTCTGCAATTAAGAATGCTACATTTTAATACCTGCATAATTTTCTTAGTATGTCCATTGTAACTTAGTTTTTCGGTAAAATGAGGTTTCATAGATCTATTTTGTGGTTATTTGTCATTCCCTAATTATACACATTTAACAATATGTGATGTGATGTGAACAATAATGGTGGATGCATTCCCGATCCTGCGGACAGAATGGAAAGCAGTCGACGTCGCCCCAAACACGTCATTTCGGATCCTCCCGATCCACTAACGGTGCTTTTAGGTACCTCAAGTATTGGTCACCGTTCTCGTCGAACCCGTCGTTTGCGACGAAGGGCTCGGCGAGTTAATTAACCCACATACACAACCCACTGAGTTTCTCGCCGGATCTTCTCAGTGGGTCGCGTTTCTGATCAGGTGATAGATTCTGCGAAGCACGGCTCTTGCTAGTGTTCGTGTTAGCAACGTCATCAAGTTTGAGCCCCGTGAGCTCACGTACTAGCCCGGTGACGCTGACATGGTCTCTCTAGAGCATCAGCTTAGGCAGAAAAAAAAAGCATCAATGTTTTGGGTGACGTCAACTGTTTACCATTCGGTCCCCAGGATCGGCTATGTAGTTACCGGCGGCCACGATGAGAGGGTTTTCGTGTCGTGCCGCTTTATCGAAATGGGTGCATTGATGCACCTCAGTTCCAGGGTTAGCCTTTTAAAATAAAATTGAGAATAGAGTCTCATGCTTTTTTTATTTTTTTATTGCTTAGATGCCACCCACCTTGAGATAAAAGTTCTAAAGTCTCAGTATAGTTACAACGGCTACCCCACCCTTCAAACCGAAACGCATTACTGCTTCACAGCAGAAATAAGCAGGGCGGTGGTACCTATCCACGAGGACTCACAAGTGGTCCTACCACCAGTAATTACGCAAATTATAATTTTGCGGGTTTGACTTTTATTACACGATGTTATTCCTTCACCGTGGAAGTCAATCGTGAACATTTGTTGAGTACATATTTCATTAGAAAATTTTTTTTGTTATTGCTTTTATGGGTGAAGGAGCTCACAGCCCACTTGGTGTGGTTACTGGAACCCATAGACATCTACAACGTAAATGCGCCACCCACCTTGAGATATAAGTTCTAAGTTCTCAGGTATAGTTACAACGGCTGCCCCACCCTTCAGACCGAAACGCATTACTGCTTCACGGCAGAAATAAGCATGTCTTATGGTGGGCATACAAATTTTGATGTCTATGGGCTCCAATAAACCATTTAAGACCTGGTTGTGAGTTTGATCACAGATATGAGAAATAAAATAAAAACTAACATGGTATGTGCGTTGTCTCCGGTCTCTCCGCATGTGTTACACACGTGACGTCTCAAGATGGGGCACATAACAACGCTTCTGTTTCCTATTTTCTGCCTCACAGTATGTGTCCCGTACACGTTTGGAGCTTCGCCATTCTTCCGGCAAAATGAACATATCTTCGTATTGAACGGAAATTTTGAGCTACTCTCAAATGTTACTTGTGGTGTGGTCAATGGTCCGAATTGTGTCGGCCCAAAAGGTTTTAAAGCCCTCATATTTGAAGAGTTTGCTGATGTGAACTGTGATTGATATGTGTTCATATTTAATGACAAATCAGAAGATGTCATAGAAAAGTTTCTATTGTTCATCAAATTGTTTCCAATTGTTGATCTGCTCTCTTTCGGAAATAGTTCATAGAATTCACTATTATTGTAATTGTATTCATTATTATAATACTTTGGGGGTGTTTGTGAGAATACAGAGTCATTGTCCTCTTTCCAAATATTTGAAAGACTTTTATCCAATGTTGTTTCAAAGCTTGGTGTGTGAGTTGGTTCAAATGTTGGCTGTGCATCCCCAATCATAATTCTTCGACCAAATATTGGACGATGGCGTCGTACTGCACTAGGAGTTTCATTATCAGTTTTCATAAAAGATTTCATAGATACATCTATGAGGGACTCGGGGGTTGTTGAATCATTTGAGCTTGAATTTATTGGCGTTGATTGGTTATATGGTGATCGACCTGGATTTAATAATGTCTGCAATAAATCTGAAATCAAGAAAATCAGATCATGAATTAATCACAGGAATTTCTCGGTCTGGCAATCTAGAAATGAATTACAACTGTTGAGTCTGTGCCTCTAGAGAGAGGGTATATTACATAGGGTCATAATTATTAATAAGACACGACAGTTTGCAACCTGTTTATTGTGTGAAGACTCGACACAGACTGTCTAAGCTAAACCCGCTACATGACATTTAATATTTCAGGCAAAATTGTTGGAAAATGTCAGGAAGAGTTAGCACTTGCCATGTGTAGGTCATCGGTGACCTACATGGCTCACTGAAGTAATTATGTCGATTTCTGTTACTGAGCACCTGGATTGCCTAACTTTGATTTCTTTTGTTTTTAATGTATTTTTAGACTTTTAGATCTCTTAAAAATAGATTCATTCTCAGTATTTTAGGATTCGTCCTTCGTAGAGTATACTAGATATTAAATTGCATTAGTAAGAAGATCAAATACAGAAAAAGCTTAAGGATATAGTTTCATTGTCGTAGCTCACTCTCCAGACCAGAATGACCATACTCTTGTCTCATTCAGAGGTGATGAAACAACTAACTTTATTAAAATTTATTTCAAGCAAATATCACATGATATATAGCATCATGTTGTGACCTACAAGCTCTAGTAATTGCTTAGCATTAGGTGAGCAATGACCAAGTTCAGTTACTGAACCAGATCAATAAAAGTATATTAAAATTTTATTTGAAAATTGTAGAAGAAAATATGAAAAAGAAATACATACAGTGTACATTTTTTTTTAAAGGAGCTATCAAGAGATACGACATTATTCACTTAACATAATTTTATGAAAACATTTTTTAATCAGGCTGTTTTTGAAATGTTACGTATTTCCTTTATAATTTTAAATTGTGTAACCACAATGTTAAATTGTAAAACTTTTATATATAATTTACTATATTCAATCTTTGACTTACCACTTTCCATGGGCGTTGGAAACAAATTATTCACGTCCAACATATTATTATTTAGATCCAATAAGCTTTTTCGCGGATACATTGTTTTATTATTTTATCTGAAAAGATAAGTAATGTACATAATAAAAACATGACTTACACATTCATTTACGTTTTTACTACGTATGTACTTAAACCAAAAATTTAGGCACTTTAAATTTTTATGACTTTAATGAAGTAGAATATTATTAGGAATTACATTCTAATGACCGAACATCCGATAGCACCCGGAAGCATTCTTATTTTGAATCAACTTTTTATACATATGAGACGATAGACTCAAAAAAATCAACAATTTATGTGCAAGAAAAGTACTTACTACCAAAAAAATACTAAAAAAATTCAGTGCTGATTTAAATAATCATTATATTGATACCATCATTAAAATACAGCTCAATATTAATTTTATGGACCCCATTAACGATAATTAGTTATCTAATACCATAAATAAATATTGTCTTGAACATTTACGCGTTCATGACAAAATTTAATCAAAATTAAGGAGTGGTGTTAAAACTAGTGGTTGAACAGACTTTTTTATTAACACAATAATTGAAACAATTTTATTCAGTGGAATTTTACAAATCCAGTACCTACTGTAGTATATTTAGATAATACCTAACATATTCATGCTATTATCTGACTAGCCAGTGCTACTTTTTTTGCATTATTTATATGGTTAATAAATACGCGGTGACTAGCAGTTTAACATAAGATTGTTAAAAAATCCTGTAACGCAATTTAGCAATGAGGGACTAATCTCACATGAAAACGATTTTATTAAATAGTGTATTAATGTATGCTAATTTAATAACAACTAAATATAGATTTTGATAGAATTTATGGGAATGAAGGCGTAATTTAAAAAGGTTGAAATAAGACTATGATTGTATAAACTTCATTAGGCCATAGTATAGGAAACTGAAGTGTATATATCTATACGATTTGATAAAATAGAAATCACTGGCATTAACTTGGTAGTGATTGTAGGCATTCCGCGATCATTGTCTATCAATATATAGCACATAACACATAATAGCAGCTTTAATATATAATATAGTTAGCTTCGCCTTGGAACGCCTTCCCACTGTGCAGTCACATAAAGAAAAAATCAACGTGTAGGTATTTACTTTTAAATTTGAAGCTAATTATCATAAAAACTATTAATTTAATTCATAATTATAAAATTAGCGAAATTTCTCATTAAGTAGGTGTGCTTATTTAATTTGTTTCTTACCTTTTATTAAATGTAATCACGATTTGAGTTGAACGTCAGCGCACCACGATGGATCGAATGCTTGTGTTTTGTGTTCATTAAAAATATACAAACTTTCGGCAAACGCATTCAAAGGGCGGTTCCTTTTTGTCTTTATAACTTAAAAAGGCGCCGACTTTTCGGCTTCAGTTTCAAAGGTACCGATAATTTTGGCACGTGTAATCCTATTTGTACTACTCAACGCTAGATGACGCCACACGTGCTTTAGTAAACAAGAGACCACGAAAACGAAAGTATTTGAAACGCCAGAAATTAATATAATAACCCTAAAATCTCGAAAAAAACTACTTATGTATTTGCTATATATTTGTCTTTTATTTTGTTCACCTCTTGTGAGTCTGCACGGGTAGGTACCGCCACCCTGCCTATTTCTACCGTGAACCAGCAATGGGTTTCGGTTTGAAGGGTGGGGCAGCCGTTGTAACTATACTTGAGACCTTAGAACTTATATGTCAAGGTGGGTGGCTCATTTACATTGTAGATGTCTATGGGCTCCGGTAGCTGCTTAACACCAGGTGGACTGTGAGGTCGTCCACCCATCTAAATAAAATAAAAAAAAGAAATCTCGCACATCGCGCTTGACCCAATCAATAGGTATAACGCGTTAAGTACAAATGTAATATTTGTACAAATACATTACAACCAATTTTTTTACAATTCAAAAACTAGGAACACAAATTTAATAAATTAATTTAATTGAATTTTACAAATTTTTTAATAATTATGAAAAAAACTGTATTATTTTCACAGTACAGAAATATAACGTGTGAAATCCCCGCGTTATATGGGGGAATACCCGTGTTTTTAATTTTTAAACGAGCGAATGAAATCGCGTACCTAATATGAGAAATTAAGTGTACCGTATTATAAGGGGGATTGATTACTGTTTAAAGACAATTTTCACAATTTTAAATGGTTCTTAATTTAATACGCGCTGTTGCAATTTACAAACTTACTTATTGCCCACTGAGTTTCTCGCCGGATCTTCTCAGTGGGTCGCGTTTTCGATCCGGTGGTAGATTCATTGAAGCACTGCTCTTACTAGGGCCAGTGCTAGCAATAGGCTTGAGCCTAGAAAGCTCACCTACACGTTAGGATGAAGCTGAAATAGCCTCTCAAGGCTGTCAGCATAGGTAAAAAAAAAAAAAAACTTACTAGACAACCACGTTCCGCTGTTTCTGTCGCTAAATCGACATCTAAATATTACGTAACAACAATCGTATGTCCGTACATCATCATCGTCGTCATCATTAGCCCACAGTTGTCCACTGCTGGACATAGCCTTCTCCCAATCCACACCACATGTACGCACATGTAAATTTATATACAAAAAAACGACGTCAATTTATTAAAACTAATTGCGCATCGCTTATATTGATAGTTAACAACTCGTCCACCTTTTACTGGTGGTAGGACGTCTTGTGAGTCCGCGCGAGTAGGTACCACCACCCTGCCTATTTCTGCCGTGAAGCAGAAATGCGTTTCGGTTTGAAGGGTGGGGCAGCCGTTGTAACCATATTGAGACTTTAGAACTTATATCTCAAGGTGGTTGGCGCATTTCGTTGTAAATGTCTATGGGTTCCGGTAACTACTTAACACCCGGTGGGCCGTGAGCTCGTCCATCCATTGAAGAAAAAAAAATCGGTGCGAAACTTATTTCAATCTCCCTGACAGCAATCATAATACAAATTTGCATCTGTTTGTTATTGTTTGATTGTATAATAAGCACAATGACGTACATGATTAGCAGAATGTAGACCAAGGTAAAGCTTGGTGCGAGTTACAAGAAATAAGCGGTTAGCCTTTGACTATTTCGCGGTTTTTTGATTGGGAACACTTTTTTTATTGCTTAATTGGGTGGACGAGCTCATAGCCCACTTGATGTTAAGTGGCCACCGGAGCCCGTAAGACAACTACAGCGTAAATGCCGCCACCTATCTTGAGATATGAGGTCTAAGGTTTTTACAATACAACGGCTTGCCCCACCCTTCAAACCGAACATATTGGCGCGTGATTTCAGTAACATCGCGGGATCTTCTCAGTGGATCGCGATTCCGATTGTGGTAGATTCAGCGAAGTTTGCTAGGGCTAATGTTAGCAGCTCTTTCTGGCCTGTGACCTTGCTCACTCAACCAGTGAAACTGGAATAGCCTCTTGAGGCTACAAATGAGAAAAGAAAGGTTAATTCTGTGATGGAAAATGGTTTCAGCTTTCACATGTGTTCACGCCTTCTATAGATCTTCTCGTCTCCCTTGCGAGTTTTTTTTCTATATAAGCTGATAGCCTTGAGAGGCTATTTCAGCGTAACCTTAACTAGTAGGTGAGCTCACGGGGCTCAAACCTGACGACGTTGCTAACACGAACCCTAGCAAGAGCCGTGCTTCGCAGAATCTACCAGCGGATCGGAATCGCGACCCACTGAGAAGATCCGGCGAGAAACTCAGTGGGCTGTGTCTGTGGGTTAATTTACTCGTCGAACCCTTGTGTCGAGTGCTTGAGGTACCTAAAAGCACCGTTAGTGGATCGGGAGGATCCGAAATGACGTGTTTGGGGCGACGTCGACTGCTTTCCGTTCTGTCCGCAGGATCGGGAACGCCTGGTTACTTTACGCCACTGTTACTTCTCTGTGAGTTTGTGTTTCGTTTGGTAAAATAAGTTTTTCGATTTTTTTGCTCATTTTCATTTTGTATTTTAAATTGTTTTACAGCGTTAATAGTTTTCATTAATCATAAATTCTATCGTCTGCTTTTGCTAGGGCTAGTGTTAGCAATTCGTTTGTTTAGAGCCCCATCAGCTCACCTACTCGTTCGCCGAATCTAGTATGACCCCTTGAAAACTTTTATTTATTTATTGCTTAGGTGGGTGGACGAGCTCACAGCCCAAATGGTTGTTAAGTGGATACTGGAGCCCATAGACATCTACAACGTAAATGCCCCACCCACCTTGAGATATAAGTTCTAAGGTCTCAGTATAGTTACAACGGCTGCCCCACCCTTCGAACCGAAACGCATTACTGCTTCACGGGAGAAATAGACAGGATGGTGCTATAGGTAGCCTAACTAAAACCGAAGAAAATATTATCAGTACTGATCAAAACGGGTCCGTGGCGATGCGAATTTCATTCTCACTTGTACCACACAGCCGAGACAATAATGCGTTTCGTCTATTGTTTTATTTTCTTTCTAATATGACAGACGTATCTGATAGCGGTAATTTAATGCAATTCGTTTTTATTATTTCATCAGTTCGACAGATTTTTTATCATTGTTCACTTGCAATACGTTAAGACCTCCTCAGTCGTCTTACCCTTCTGGCCCTTTTGAAAAAGTACCCTTTAGAAAAAGTGGAGCAAGATCGGCATATCGGTAGTTACGACGTAGCTGAAGAACTGGGAATTGACCACAAAGCAGTTTTGGCGCATTTGAAAGAACTGGGTACACAAAAAAGCTCGATATTTGGGTACCTCACGAGCTCACTGAAAGAAACCTAATGAACCGTGTACTCATTTGTGATTCTTTATTACGACGTAATGAAACCGAACCATTTTTGAAGAAGCTGATAACTGGTGATGAAAAATAAAAAAAAACACCCTGGACATTAATTAAAAGAAGTCTCCATTCCCGAGGTTGTTAGCAGCTCGTCTGTTTATCTCGAAGTGCATAGAAAAATCGTACTGTCCATAGCAAGACGTAATTTCGCGAAGCCTCAATTAGTCCAGGAGGAATCGGCGCATGAGTACCGAAAACTATTCCACCTCAATTTTTTTA